GGCCCTGTGTTGGATAAGAGAGCAAGCTGAGCAGGGGCCAGGGGAGCAAGCCAGTAAGCAGTATTCCTTCATGGCCTGTGCGCCAGCTCCAGCCTGAGTTCCTACCTCGGGCTCCCTGATGAACTGCAACCTGGGAGATGTAAGCTGAATAAAACCTTTCCTCCCCAAGTTGGTAGTGGTCAGAGTATTTTGTCACAGTAATGAAGAACAAACTAGGACAGCATGTATGTCTCCTTCGTGATTAAGACTCTCTGGAGGGTCAAGGAGATGGATCAGTAGGTAAGAGTGCTTGCTGGGCAAGCCTGACAACCTGAGTTTGGATTCCCAGAACCCATGTAAAAGCCAGACACAGTGGACATGCCTGTAATACAGGTTTTCTACAGAGAGATAGGATGCAGAGACCAGAGACCAGAGCCCTGAAGCTCACAGGCCAGTTAGCCTAGAATGTGAAGCACAGCAGCAGCAACAAGAGGGATTTTTGCCTCAAAACTAGGTAGAAAGCCAGGACCACCACAAGAAGTTGTTCTCTAACTTCCACACATACACTGTAGAATGCAGGTTCCTCCACTCACACACAAAAAACATGTACACACTACACATCATGTACACTCATAAACAAAGATAAATATTTTTAAAAGACTCTCTGGAAAGCAAAGTCTCTCTTCACTTTTTACATGACCCTCCACAAGTCTACAACATTCTGCACATTGTAGACAAATAATAAATGATTATAAACATAAATTAACAGAATGAAAAACATCTTTGTTCTTATTCCTTAAAGAGGAGCTCAATGTTCTAGTTATATTACTAAACGTACCCACAAATATTTAATTTTTGTGCTTGTAATCTGGTTCTCTTTTCTAAACTCAATCCATGTATCCAACTGTCTAGATTTCTTTACCTAGATATGCCACAATCTGTTCAATGTGTCTAAACAGATGTTGACATCTGTCATCTACATTGTTTTATTACAGTCTCTTTGTATAACTGTATGCATCATTTGACTTTTAAATCACTTATTTGGCCTATTTCTTCATCTGCCAAAAGAAAATAAATTAAATTGACAGGAAATTAGATAAAATCAAGATGAAAAGCACAAGGATATTTTAATTTTTTAGGAGAGTGGAAATTGCTGGCTGGAGTCTCAGGAAGAACACTATGATCCAGAAATCACTACTGCATTCTTAAAAAGGGAGGATGGAGGTAGTTTCCTCTCTGAAGAGCCATTAATTGCTGGCTATAAATATTGGTGGTATGAAAATGTCTGACAGGTGATTTTGATTGCTACTCCAAGTACTTTTAAAGGACATATTGTATCCTTTGAAGATGCATACAAAGATGGCCTATGATTATTATATAGCACTTTTAAAACACTTTTCCATTAAATTCATTTTTGAGACACAGAAACTTCATACATATAGCAAAGATGAAATTTAATTATTTAATTATTGTAAAGTCATTTCTTCTGCAAAGAATACTAAAAACTGCCTAAAGTCAGATCTAAGCACCCAAAGCATCAATTGTTCATTATTTCTAAAAAGAGTAAGTTAGGACAGGAAATATGTTCTACATCTTTTGAGGATTAGTAGTTGTATGCTATTGCTGTACAACTTGATGGAGATTATAGAACCTATGCATTTTCTTTCAGGTAACACAACTCAGTTTTCTAAAACGGGGAGCATTAGTTAATAAAGAGTAATTAATACCGGGCCAATTGGCAAAGGCCTCACTACGGGGACAATTAAGTCACTTTCCCCTTGGACACAAACTCCATGAAACCACGTATTTCCCTGTGCAAAAGGGTAGTGGGGCAGGGAAGCTCCTTGAATCTCCACAGATGGGAGCAAGTGTTGATACAACACAGGTAGAAAACCTCAAACACAGAGCTGGGTTCACAATGCTGTCAGTGGACGGAGACAAAGAGCTAAGGGTGAAGAGATGCTTGGGGTGGGTTGGTGCGTGGCAGGAGGAAGCACTTAGGAAGGCATGAGCACCAAACAGTGGCTGCCAGCATTTAAAAGGTATTGTACAGATGCACATCCTCAAGCCCTGCCTGGCACTCCTTCCTGAGGTCGGGGGCTCAGTAACTACCCCCCCACCTGCCTGGTCAGGGCTCCTTGACAGGATGAGTACCCAATGAGCTAACATGACTCTCATCTTCACGAATGAGCTAGACTGCCTGGGCACAGAGTCCCCATAGCCACGGCCTTCCGCCTCGCAGCGGACCACGTCACATCACGCCACGCCACTTCAGGCATTTGGGGCCACACCTAGCACCAACACCTTCCCACAGCAGCCCACGCAGGCAGCGTCCGTCTCACGTGACCCTACGTCCCGCCCCTTCCGGCTGCCAATCCACTCCCTCCGCGCGGGGCGTCACGTGACCTCCGCCCTGCCCACCAGGCGGACTCGCGGGCGGTGCAGCTGCAGCGATTGCAAAGTGGGCCTGCGAGGCAGACATGGCTACGACTCTGCAGCGCATCGAGAGGCTGTCCAGTCGGGTGGTGCGCGTGTTGGGCTGTAACCCGGGTCCCATGACCCTGCAAGGCACCAACACTTACCTGGTGGGGACCGGCGGCAGGTAAACGTCCCGCTCTTCCCCCCACGGCGCGCACACTGGGGACACCCGCGGGGGCTACCCCATCCCCCAGCCACCATCAGTGACGACCTCCTTGCTGCTGACCAGACCCAGAGAAAGTACAGCAGCTTGTGAATCCCGGTGACTGCACTTGCTGTCCGGCTGCCAGCGCATCGTGACTGTGTTCAATTAGGATCTCCTGGAGTTAGTCTACCTAAGCCGGTGCGACCGACGCGCGCCGAGAAGTCCTGTCCCTGGCATGCAGAGGCAGGAGGGTCGCCACTGGGTGGAGGCCATCCTGGTCTACATAGCCAGGACAAGCTTGCTAGGGCTATATTTATAGCACGGCCCGGCTCTGCTCCGAAAACAAAAGTTTACTCGCTTCCCTGACTTGGTTTAGCCCAGAGCTTCCTGTCTCAGAAGCTGTTGATTGTGCTGAAGCCATTTTCTTAACAGTAGAGGGCAGGATTTTCTTGCTTCCAATTAAACCTGGGTCTAGAAAATCCCAAAGTGCAACCTCCAGCCAGTGGGGAAGGAGGAGCTGACCGTAATTAATTATGCTTTTTGTTAGAATAGTGTGTGACAACCATAGCTTGTTTTTCATTTAAATTCCCTATATTTACCTTGTGAACGAGAATTTTACACACAGCTGACTAGTAATGCAAGCCAAGTAGGCAAAAGGTCAAGGCCAGGGTCAAGCACAGGACCTTTAGGCTGTCTCCACACTTTAGCCAGTACGTCCACAAGCATTTCTCTTCAGGGTGTCATTTTTTAAAAATACTTTATTATTTTTATTTTATGTGTATGTGTGTATTGCCTGCATGTAGGTAAGTGTGCCCGGGTCGTGCAATGCCCAGGGAGGACAGAAGAGGCTGTCAGATCCCCTAGAACTGGAGTTACAGACAGTTGTTAGCTGCCTTGTGGGTGCTTGGATTTGAACCCAGGTCTTCTGCAACAACAGTCAGTGTTCTTAACCTCTGAGCCATCTCTCCAGCCCCCCAGGGTGTCATTTTAAAATCGTTCTGAAGTTAGCCTAAGGTGAACATTGCAGATAATCAGAATTAGCCTAGAGTGTCCACTAGGGGACTGTTGGAGATCCGTGTATGGTCCCGGTAAGTTCGATAGGACTTGCTTTTCTTCTAGAGTTAAAACAAATGGCTGGTTCCATTTGAAAACCAAATGAAGTTGGCTTGCATTTAGAGGCTAAACTGTGTGAAAACTACATACCTTGCCTGTAAACATTTGAATCAAACTCGGCATAGGAAAATGCTTGTGCTAAAAGAGACCTGAAGTTAAGTGAGGGAAGAACAGAGTCAAGGTCTCCCATCTTAAGCTACTTAACATTATTACTAAGTGGAATGTCCAATGGAATCACAGCCCTATTTAAATTACAATTTATTTAATTTTATAGGCTAGTATTTAATCTGGCAAGGCTAGACTTACTAATGTTGACTCAACATAAACTAAAAGGTGACTAAAACCAAATATTATTTGGGTCAGATGTTCCAAGATTGGAGTCCACTCTTCTACTTCACAAAACAGGTCTGAGATTACAGATAGCTTCTAGGTCACTAACATACTGACATTTTTCTGTTTCAATTTCTGCTAACTTCTGACACTGTTGATCATTCCCTCCTTGATTTGCTAATACCACACTCTCTCTAGTTGTTATACTCATTGTCCATCTTTATCAGCTCTTTGAGTTCCTCTAAGTCCAATCCTAACTGCTTTTTAAAATTACACCTATTTGTTTATTTGGTGTGTAGGTGTGTGGGCATGTGTGGTGTGAGTATGGAACTCAGAGGACAATTTGCAGGAGTTGGTTCTTTTCCCACCATGTTAGTCCTGGGGATCAAATGCAGGTCATCAGCCTTAGTAGCAAGCACCATTTCCTAAATAGCCATCTCACCTGACCAGTCATAACTTCATGTGATGGTTAATCTTGATTGTCGACTGAATTTAAACTTACCTAAAATACAAACTTTTGAATATATTGTGAGATCATTACCAGAGAAATTTGACTGAGGTAGGAAGACCCACACGGAATGTAGACAGAACCATTCCATGTGCTAAAGTCCTAAACTGAATTACAGAAGAGAAAGTGAGTAGAACATGAGGCATTCCCCTCTCTCCTCCACCTCCTTCCTGGCTATGTATGAGATATGGTCAGCTACCTTACACTCTGTGCCACAGATAACGGCAGCTCTTGCCATCACACTTTCCCCTCCAACATGACCTGTGTCCTCAATGTGTAAACCAAAATAAACCCTCTTTAAGTTGCTTTTGTGAGGCATTTTGTCACAATGAGAAAACATCTGATTCCTGTTTTTATACAGTATTGTTTAGATGAGCCTGTCTTCTTCTTTGGCTTTACCTATCATCTGTTTATTATTACTACTCAGATTTACAGCTGAAATTTAGCCAAAGGCCAAATTTAATCATCAGACTCACATAGTTGACTGCCCTCTTAAATCCTGCATGACTCAGCCACTTGAAACAATATTTTTCAAACTGAAGTCATTGTCTTTACTACTAAAGCTAAGCCCAGGCCCTTCTGAAGTTGGCTCCTGTCTTAGTAAACAGAACTGTCCATGTATTTGATCAAACAAATAAAATGCCTAAACACTGTCCAGGGCATTTCCTTGCCTCCTTGCACACATCCAAGCCTTCCTGAAAATCTGTTCAGTTTTACTATCACCCAGTTCAGTTCTTGTGTAGACTTATCTATTTGCCTCCTTACTGGCCTCTATGCCTCTGTTTTTGTCCTCCTTCAGTCCATTCCCCCACATGTAGCCAAAGTAGTGTTATTTTGAAAATGAAAATGGAAAAGATCTTGCTGCTCTTAAACCTCTCTGGTTCTCTCCTTGCTGGCCTTCTCAGTGCCCCAAATGAGGCCTAGCTGTTCTCCCCCAGGGCTTTTGTCTATACTTTGCTCTTTTTCTCCCACTCATCCTTCCTTGCATCATCTAACTTCACTCATCCTTTAGAGTTCATTTGGAACTTTTCCCTGACCTCTCAGGCTGTGTTAGATCAATGTAATGCACTATTTTAGCATGCCACAGTTCCCATGGCCTTCATCTCAACGTTAATAATAAAGGTTAGTGTATGTTTTGTGTAAGAAGTTTAGTATCTTTTTGTACTAGTAATCCCATTATAATCCAAGCTAGGCCAAAATTTACTTCTGCAGCTCTGGCACCTAGCATGGAGCCTTGTACAGCAGGGGTAGTAGAGTGAATATTTGCTCATGTTTTTCTCTTAATTTTTGCTTTTATGATTCTAGGAATGCCTGAAGTTTTAGCTGGTATTCCTCCCTGCTTCTGATCAGTTTATGATGTCACAGTTCACTAAAGCCCTATTTAACATGTATGTACTCAATAAGCCTTTAACTCAGTGAATGAAAGCTCAACTCTCTATAGCATTTCCACATTCTTCCTCTGTTCAGGAACCTTTGATAGCTGAAATTCTAACCTCTCTTATCAAAACATAATACTTTGAGGACAAATTTGTATATTACCATAGAAAAGAGGGGTCTCATAGAAAGAATAGAGTTAAAAAAAATCTGGTCTCCTTTATGTTAGAATCCTGGCTCTGTTTACCAGCTGTAGAACTTGGAAGGAGACAGTTCTCTAACACGTTTCTCACCTGCAGTGAGTTTTGCAGTACCTATTTCACACAGATATGAGGATTCAGTGAAAGGAACAAAAGCATGTATCAAAAACACAACAAAATTTTAGCATGTGGAAAGCTTGTTATATAGTTATTACTTCTTGTAGTATGTTTACAGCACTGGGATCATAGTAGGGGTCAGCAAATATCTAATGGTTTTATGTGAGTAACAGCAAATGGATACAGGGCAGTTAATCGTTATCTTAATATTGCTATAATATCTCAAAATAAAATACTCATAAAGAAGAAGTTGATTCTACTAACTTACCCTCACTTGAGCTTCTCTCCATTCACACAGCAGACTGTCTGCTGTGTGATGGGTACTGAGTTCTGGTGAATAAATCAGTCCTGGACCTGTACAGATTCATTGACACTGTTCTCTTGATCCCTCTGTGAGTCCAACATGTATTTTCAAATTGACCTTCTGAGATAACCATGTCTATAACCATGGGTAACAAAGTCAGCTATAAATACAAAGATGACACTAATCTTCATAATGGCTATTCATAGACATCACACATAGAATGCTATTTGGTTTTCTAATCTAGAACTAAAGTTTTATTTATGCTGTAAGGAATGACTCTGGGTGAGTAGCAGTGAGTATCTTTTGTGGAGAAGTCCTTGTGCTTTCTGCTTGTAGTGCCTCCCAGCACTGTCTCCTGCTGGCTGTAAGACTGAGAGTAGCTCACTTAGCCTTTCGAAAGTCTAGGTACCCCCTCCATAAAAAACAGATAATAAAATAATGCATCTCTCGAGTTGATATGAAGATTAAAATATCATAAATACAAGTATTCCAAGAGGTTTTAGTTGCAAATACTATCTGTATGACCTTATTACTTGTTCAACCCCATTTTAAAAATTTGATAACATCCAGTGTCCATTCTTAGCAGGTTGTATCTATGTCAGAACTTGCAAAGGTCTGGTTCTCCTCAATTTAAGTCTCCTTCCTTTGCCAATCCCAATTTTATTAGACCAAAACAGGACAGTTAGGCTATCTAAAAAGAAGGCCTGGGAAAAAAGCTGTCTATTGCCAGCAGCTGATGTTACTGAGATTTTCATCTGTAAACAAGCAAAGGCATTCCTCAAGATCTTTTTTCTATGTAACTAGACATTAGGCAAATCTGTTTAGTAACCCTGTTGATTTTGTCATAACTTTAGATCACCATGATAGGATCTGGACTATGGAAATTTAAATTCAGTGTTAGATTGCCAGGCATTTGAAAACCACTTCTTAGGAAGAAGGGAAGGCAGTTATCTAAATATAATGAGGAACTTTGATGGCTTGAAAGTTTAAAGAAGTCTTGATCTAAGGCATGGAAGGGTTCCTTGTAAGGCCT